TGAAAACTCTTAACATACAATGAGTAAGGACACTTCTCTATCCTGATAAAGACACCTGGAAGTCCGTGGCTAACATAGTGGTTAAGAGTGAAAGGCCAAATACTTTTCTCCTAACATTGGGAAGACTTTGCTTTCTTCACTTCTACTCGTAATTGTACTTGAGGTTCGAGAAATTGAAACAATACAGATTAGAAATAAAGTAAAATTGATTCATTTGTAAATACCTTAATCTCATGTGGAAAAGTCCATGGAACACACCCACACACCCATACACACATACAATTAATAGATGTTTTAGTAATGCCACAGGATGCAAGATAAGCATACAAAATCTCTTTTCTATATACTTAGAAAAAAAGCTGTCAATAAAATTTAGAAGATAATTCTTTTAACAATAACGTGAAAAATAAGAACACACTGAAGTACAACTTTAGCAAAAATTATAAAATGTTGGTGAGAGAAATTTGAAAGTTAGAAGTAAATATAAAAATGTACCATGATGATGCATTAAAATACTCAATTTCAGCAGGATGATGATTCTCTTTAAATTAATCTATAGTCTAAATCAAGCCATATTGAAATCAAGTAGATTTCTTTTTCTTAGGCTATGTTATAATTTATGTCAAAATGCAGAAACTTACAATTATCAAGAAATTTGGGAAAGAAAAAATATGGCATGATTTGCAAATTTTATTTTAAAATTCATTATAAAGATGTAGTAATGAGGTATGATATTGGCCAGTAGTAGAGATATTAAGATTAGGGTCTAAAAATACTTTGCAACAAGAATACAGAATTAATTCAACTGGAGAATATTCTCCTCCACAAACAGGTAGGATCATTTGGATATCCACATGACAAAAAGAGACATTGTTCCTCACCTCAAATCATAATAGAGATTAGAAATAAAGTTCTAATTCCAATAGATAGTAATATTAAATATAAGAACTAAAACCACAAATCTTCTAGAATAAACACAGGAAAATATCTTTGAATCCTTGGATTTGGCCAAAAAGGTGTCATCATACATGATCCAAAACACTTAAAAAATAACTTGTGTGACTTTATCAGAATTAAAGTTTGTGCTTCAAAGACATCAATAAGATGGTGAAAAAGACAATAACTGGAAAATAATATTTGCGATCACGTGTATGATAAAAGAGTTATATTCAGAATGTATAACACAAATTAATAAGTAGAGGACAAGAAACAATTAAAATAGACAAAAGAATAAAATAAACATCTTGAAAAAATCATCTATATCATTAATAGCACATAAAAAGATGCTTTAATTTATTAGGGAAATGCAAATTTAAATCACAGTGAGATACCAGTACACATTTCACTGTATTGGAGATATATATTGACATATATACATGTATGAATATATATGTATATATATTTGCATACACACACAAATAAGCATTCCATCTGCTTGTGAAGGTGTGGAAAAATTGAAACCATCACACATCACAGGTATAATATAAAATGATAGTCATTTTTGGAATTTGGTTTGTGTAGAGAGACGCAATCAAGAAAGAAATTTTAGGGCTGATGAAAATCTTCTAACACTAAGCTGAGCTGAAGGTCATGTGAACCTATGTTTACTTAAAATACTGAAGTGTACAGTTATAGTTGGTGAAATATTTCTCTATAAAGCTGTTAGAAAGTTAGGTGTGTATATTATAAATCTTTAAAATCTGCTTTTTACTTTGTGCAAATATGTGCTAACCTATGTACATCTAAACATATTTAAATTTTCAGAAAATAAAATTAAGACTCGTTAGAACAATCAAGAGTAGAGCAAGGAAGACAAATTTAAAGTGAATTTATGTGCAAAGTGTCAGCTATTGAAAACTATAAAGCTGTATAATATTCCAAGAGATCATCACTATTTTCCTTGATGCTAAACCTTTTTTTTTTTTTTTTGCTATTGAATTAGTTTACTGGTGATTGTAAATATGAGAAAAATGGCTGATGTAATACAGAAATGTGATATAGTGGCACAAAGATATTCCACTAATTCATGTAATTCAAGAACAGGAACTCCAGGAGTAAGCACTGTGGAAGAATCAAATATTCCCCTCCTGCTTCATTTTTTTTAAATTTTCCTTTTCATTTTCATCCCCACCATTTTTTAAAATTTCTTCACCACCAATGACTATTTTATTCTACTTCCTTACTACACAACAGGTTTATTATTTACACACATGCCCAAAACTGTCTTCCAATAGCACTTGAGTTAGTATGTGATGAGCCACCTAGATGACTCCTGAATTGATACAGACTCTGTCGAAGACCATCCTCTCTGAGAAAGTACATAAGAGTCCACTGTTGGGTGAAATAACTGAACTAAAATGATAAACTACAGCTCAGAGGAGGAGGGAGTGAAGTTTCTCATGTTTGAACAAAGCTGCTCTCAGTGAAACCACAGAGATGTGGGTGGGAGGTCTGATCACAAAGTAAAGGTGGGAGACAAGCTATCCATTAAATAACTAACACTGCAATATTTTTAGATATTTCTCTAAAAGACTGGATTTCATCTCAAGAGGATACGAAGAATATTGTAAAAACTAATAGGAAATACCTGGAAACTCCCACAAAAGAGCACAATTATCTCAGGAAGAAAATGTTTCTTATTGTTGTTTAGTTATCAAAGAAATTACAGAAATATTTACACAAGAGCAGTAATTTTCTTACTTAAATGAGATCCGGTCCTAATAATGCACATTGTTGGCATTAATATTGGCTTAAATATGCACAACTGGTTTCTATGAGGGGTCCCTTGTATAACTTCATACTTAATAAGAACTTGGAGATGAAATGAAGCTTCACAATTAAGTTTTTCAGGTAAAGATATGTGAAGGGGCAAAATTAGAAGTCAGGAAAATGTACAAATGTCTGTAATATAAATAGATCCATAGATAAGTCAGATTTGTGACAAAGGTTCTAAGTAAACTATTTATTAAATCTTATTATTTTATTTAGTAGCTAAGTAATGTTACAGTTTCTGACATATCTGGGGTAGTAATAGAAAGCTTTTGGTGATTCTTTTTAGTGTTCTGACAGCACCCTTAATAGAACTGTGAGCTCAGCAACTGTGAGCTCAGCAACTTTGGTTTAGTCTTTGCAATTTATACAAATGCTGAAGTCTTCATTTCAAAGGAAAGGGCTCCCTTGGGGAATTCACAGAAGCCAAAACATGCCATTTGGGATGGATAGATTATACTTTCATGCTGAAGAAGTCCAGAAACTTCTCTCCAACATAATTTCCATTCCCAAATCCTGACCCTTTCCTGGACATAAGATATTTATGGAAGGCATCTCCACTAATTAGCAGCCTTATGTCAGCAATCAGAATAAGGGACGGAGGAGAAATAGCAGTGTGGTTGAGAATACTGTTCCCAGCAATAGTGAAACTTCTAATAGTGAAGTGAAAGTGGGGACTGCCTCAAAGGTATCTGCAAGAGACTGTTCTAGAAAATTGGAATGGACAACACAAGATTTGTTTTAGAATTCACGTAGTCAAGATTTCTCAAACTGTGAAAGCCAAAAGCTTTAGAAATTCAAAAATTCCAGAACGGCATCCTGTCACCTTTACTAGATTTTTTATTCATCAGAAAAAAGTCGCTAACTCTTGTCTATATAAGTAGAATTATAAAAAGAAGGAAATCCCAGGGGTGTCAAGATTGCTTGGAAACTCGTCTGCTCAGAGCTATCCTTTTTCTTCCCTATTCTCTGAGAATAAAATCCAAAGATCTAGCCTTGACCTCCGGAGGCTTTGTGACCTTGCCGCCCTTCCTTCCACCTGCCACCTCTCTGACTACATCTTTCACTTCTTTCCTTCAGTAGCATCACTCTAGCCATTCCATCCCCTCTTTTCTTCAAACATTCCAATCAAGCTTCTACCACAAGAGTTCTTCCATTAAAATTTCTCTGCCCATAAATTCAAATTGTTATTTCTTTTAAGATTTTTCTCAAATACTTCCTTAGCATAGAAATTCTCCCTGACTGCTCAATAGAAAGTGAGCATTAATAGAAAGACCACAATCTCTCTCTACCTCACTTACATTGCTTAATTTTCTTGATTGACCCAACACCAAAATTACATTCTGCTTACACACTTCTTAGGAGTAAAAGCAACTTTCTAATCTTTAAATGTCATCCTGACTTCTTTCTTCCTCTAGTCCCACTTTCTTCATTTTCTCTTATATACTTTGCAATACTTCACTAATTATACTTTGCGTCAAATCGTTTTTCAGCCTAAAGTATCTAAATTGGTTCTGTTTTCCTGTCCAGACACTGACAGATGGAATCCTTGGTCTCCGCAATAGTTCCATTTAATAGACTTTCAGTGACGGAAATTGCTGCTTTTGTCCTGATACTGTGGATGTACTGATAACCACATTGCCATTAGTGAGATAATGGCAGCTCATAGTGCAAGAGTGGGAAAGAAGTCACTGGGTTATAACGTTTGTGGATTGAGATGAAGTACTCACTGGGAGAAGGTTTGTGGGCACCAAATGGGTAGCACGTGCCGCCGTCTGAGGCGTGACGGCCACTGTGCGGGTCGCAGTGAAGGCTCCTGGGAGCTCACGGAAATGATTTATTAGCTAAGGGTTTCAAAATCTCTGCACAAGACATGGTCTGCAAACTGGCCATTTGGCACAATGACCCTAAAAAATGAGAATGATATCGGTGTAAATGAGACCTCAAATATCGACCCTTGAATAGAATGCAGGGATGTATTCGCAGGTGGCTCAGTGGTGAAGAATGTTCCTGTTAATGCAGGAGACATGGGTTTGGCCCCTGGGCTGGGAAGATCCGCTGGGGAAGGAAGTGACGACCCCCGCAGTCTTCTTGCCTGGGAAACCCCAGGGACGGAGGGCGCAGCCGGCCACGGTCCACAGCGTTGCACAAAGCTGGACACGCGGAGTGATGTAACGGCAACAGGGACACTCCGAAATGTCTGCTGTGTTTTTCAACATTCCGTTTGACAGCTTAAGGTGAAAGGTGTCAGATTTGTGTTCTCCAAAGACGATGTGGCTGCGGGACCAGGGACCAGGCCTGATCACCGCAGAGCGTTCGCGGGGCCGAGTTTGATGATGTGGGAGAGGAAAGAGAAAGCGCCAACAGTCATCGGAAGGGGTGCAGAGGACAGTCATCGGGCTGCAGAGTGCGCCTGCTGGTCTGGGCAAGGGCGCCGTGTGGTCCCCGCCGGCTGCCGCTGTGAACCACGAGTACCTCTCAAGGTTGCCGTGGCCTCGCTAGACCCACTCCCACGACACACATCTTAAGAGACAGGATCAGTCAGAAGATCCTCAAGAAGGAGAAACACGTCCCCAAGCAGGATACATTGTCGTCATATAATCCTTAGTACAGAGTTTAAGGGAAAACGTGACCTGGAGCAAGAGCAGTCGTTCTGTTGTGCGATCATCAGCTCTGGGCTTCAAGAAAAAAAACAAACCACGTTTGCCCTTTTCTCCTCCTTGCGAGCCCCAGACCCCTCTCTCCTCCGCGGGGACCCCGGGCTTCTTATCAACCTACCTAGGAATTAACTCTCTCACATTCGAACGATGAAGCCAAGAAATGAGCAAAAAGTTCTGTATTATTGCTTTCAACAAAATTGAATAAAACATACGTCAGCCGATAGACCACTAAGATAATTTTTGAGGATAGGGCATTGTGATTATTGGCATGTAACTCAAAGGAGGCTTAAAAATTGGGTAAACTTCAATTACAAAAATACATTTTCACTTGTTTATTTATGTAAGCAAAGTATATGATCAATTACATGTATAGGGACAATAAAAGAAAATAACTGTAGGTCTCAACTTTATTCTAAAAATAAGCAATTTTGATTATGGACATAATAGATTTTAATAGATAAATTAACATTTTGATATTTTTCACTGTTTATAATGGTTTGTTGTTTACCAACAATTTTAAATTCATTTATGTTGCTTTGATCAAGTATGTACTAAGGATCGTGTGATAATTAAAATGGAAATATGCAATCCTTAGAGCATACATGTTCAATGAAGTTTTTTAATATTATGCAGCATTGTGCTGCAAAGAAGTATGATAAGGTGATTGCTAAACTTTTTTCATCACAAAATATGTTACATAAGAAAAAATAGAAATTTGGAATGTCTATATAGGAATACACACATTTTTCATAGTGATAATGACATTTTTATTATTAAATAAGTTGATCACAAAACTATTCATTGATGTAGATATTAAATCTACATAACATATCCATTCTAATGAATATCTTAAAAGGCTTTTTAAATTAATATGTTCCTTATACTGTAAGTTACATACTTTGAAACTTTTAAGCACATAATAACTATTTTAATTGTCAATGTAAAAATGGTGAATAGATATATGGTTTGAAAATATTTGAGTTGTGTTTTATCAAGGATTTTAAACAACATAAATTGATGTTTATTGTGTGCAATTTATTCGATGGGAATGTAGAAAAGAAGCTTGAGATGATTAATTTGAAGTCTGTCAAAAGTAGGAGGAAGCACTAGAATGATATATAAACAGGAGGTAGAAAGAAGGAAACTAATTCTAAGAACCTTAGTGTATAGTAATGTATGAATAACTTAAAAGCCTACTGTTTCCAATAGGTCAACACAGTTAGAACTGGAAATGCATGTAACTGTACAATTTTTATTTTCTTCTTTTTTAAAATATGTATATGAAGACCCAGATTTTTATATGCAGACCCAAGAATACCTACATTTAAAAATAATCCTTATTAAATTGTACTTTAAAATATACTTACTGATTCATCTTTAAAAGACTTAAAACATCTTTCTGTTGATCACAGGACAAACCATGCATTATTATTTATATCATCTGATAAAAACATCCCAATGTGGATGTACTCTAATTTTACACAGAGGGATGCCTTCCTGTGTGGTACCATAGTTGAAAATGGTCATTCTCTTTCCCCGGGTGCGGGCCAGTACAGTATACTAACACATATATATGGAATTTAGAAAGATGGTAACGACAACCCTATATGCAAAACAGAAAAAGAGACTCAGATGTATAGAACAGACTTGTGGACTCTGGGAGAAGGTGAGGGTGGGATGTTTCAAGAGAACAGCATCGAAACATGTATATTATCTAGGGTGAAACAGATCACCAGCCCAGGTTGGGTGCATGAGACAAGTGCTCGGGCCTGGTGCACTGGGAAGACCCAGAGGGATCGGGTGGAGAGGGAGGTGGGAGGGGGGACCAGGATGGGGAATACATGTAAATCCATGGCTAATTCATTTCAATGTATGACAAAAACCACTGCAATGATGCAAAGTAATTAGGCTCCAACTAATAAAAATAAATGGAAAAAAAATAAAATAAAAATAAAAAAGAAAATGGTCATTCTCACTGTTAGTGACTTTATGATGAAATGATTATAAAACCAAAACTGTATGTATTCAAAAGGCAGCAAAGTAGCTGTTTAAAAGAAATAATAAAGTGATGTTAAATTAGGGACAGGTAATGATTCTTGGGCTTCCCTTATAGCTCAGTCCGTTAAGAATCTGCCTGCAATGCAGGAGGCCCAGGTTCAATTCCTAGGTGGGGAAAATCCCCTGGAGAAGGAAATGGCAACCCACTCCAGTATTCTTGCCTGGAGAATCCCATGGACAGAGGAGCCTGGTGGGCTACAGTCTACGGGGTCGCAAGAGTTGGACACGACTTAGCGACTAAACCACCACCACCAATGATTCTAGGTAAGAATAAACATCAACATCAACATCCTAGAAGTCAGCAAACTAACATGGACATGGACTGAATTAAATTCAGCTGACCATTATATCTAGTACTATGGGCAAGAATCCCATAGAAGAAACAAAATAGCCCTCATAATCAACAAAAGAGTCTGAAATAACAGTACTTGGGTGCAACCTCAAAAATGACAGAATGCCCTCAGTTTGCTTCCAAGGCAAGCCATTCAACATCACACTAACCCAAGTCAGTGCTCCTGCCACTGATGCCAAAGAAGCTGAAGTTGATCAGTTCTATGAAGACCTAGAAGACCTCCTAGAACTAACACCTAAAAAAGATGTTCTGTTTATCATCAGGGATTGGAAAGCATAAGTAGGAAGTCAAGATGTACCTGGAATAACAGGCAAGCTCAGCCTTGGAGAACACAGTGAAGCAGGGCGGAAACTGAATTCTCCCAAGAGAAAGCAGTAGTCATAGCAAATACATTTCTTCAACAACACAAGGGATGACTTTACACATGGACGTCAACTAGCAGTCAATACAGAAATCAAATTGATTGCATTCTTTGTAGCCAAAGATGGAGAAATTGTATCCAGTCAGCAAAAATAAGACCTGGCACTGACTGCGGCTCAGATCATTAGCTTCTCACAGCAACATTCAGGCTTAAACTAAAGAAAACTGGGAAAAACACTAGGCCAGCCAAGTATGACTTAAATCAAATCCCGTATGAATTTGCAGTAAAGGTGATGAACAGATTCAAGGTACTAAGTCTAGTTAACAGTGTACCTGAAGAACTATGGACAGATGTCCGTAATATTGTACATGAGGCGGCAATAAAACCATCCCAAAGGAAAAAACAAGAAGGCAAAGTGGTTGTCTGAGGAGGCTTTACAAATAGCACAAAAATGAATTGAAGTGAAAAGCAAGGGAGAGAGGGAAAGATAAATCCAATTAATGAAGAGTTCCAGAGAATAGCTAGAAGAGACAAGAAGGGCTTCTTCAATGAAGGTGCTTAATAATACAGGAAAACAACAGAAGGGGAAAGACTAGAGAGCTCTTCAGGGAAACTGGGAACATCAAGGGGCTCCAAAGATGGGCACAATAAAGGATAAAAATGGTAGAGACCTAGTAGACACTGGAGAGATCAAGACGACATGGAAGAACTGTATAAAAAAGGTCTTAATGAACCAGATTGCTGCAATGGTGATGTTAGTCACCCAGAGTCAGACATTCTGGACTGCGAAGTCAGCTGGGCCTTAAGAAGCATTACTTTAATAAAGCTAGTGGATGTGATGAAATTCCAGCAAAACTATTCAGATTCTTAAAGGGTGATGCCATCAAGGTTTGCATTCATTATGTGAGCAAAGCTGGAAGACCCAGCAGTGGCCACAAGACTGGAAAAGGTCAATCCTCATCCCAATTTCCAAGAAGGGTAGTAACAAAAAATGTGCTAACCCTCAGACAATTGAACTCATCTCCCATGCTAGTAAGGTCATGCTTAAAATCTTGCTTGCTAGGCTTCAGATTTATGCAAACCAAGAACTTCCAGATGTCCTAGATGGGTTTAGAAAAGGAAGAGGAACTAGTGGTCAAATTGCCAACATTCACTGGATTACAGAGAAAGCAAGAGGATTTCAGAAAAACATCCATCTTTGTTTCATTGACTACACTAAAGCCATGGACTGTGTGGATCTTGACCAAGTGTGGAAAGCTCTTAGAGAGATGGGAATACCAGACCATCTTACCTGTCTCCTGAGAAACCTGTATGCAGGTCAAGAAGCATCAGTTAGAACCTGGTATGGAAGAACTGACTGGTTCAAGTTAGAGAAAGGAGTACGACAGGGCTGTCTGCTGTCGCCCTGTTTGTTTAACCTACACATGGAGCCCACCATGAGAAATGCCGGGCTGAATGAGTTACAAGCTGGAATCAAGATAGGCGGGAGAAACACTAACAACCTCAGATATGTGGATGATAACACTCTAATGGCAGAAAGTGAAGTGGAACTAAAGAGCGTCTTGATGAGGGTGAAGGAGGAGAGTGAAAGAGCTGGCTTAAGCCTAAATATAAAAGAAAGCTACAGTCGTGGCATCGAGCCCCATTACTGCATGCCACATAGAAGGGGAAAATGTAGAAGCAGTGACAGATTTCCTCTTCTTGGACTCCAAAACCACTGCGGATGGTGACTGCAGCCATGAAATCAGAAGACATTTGCTTCTTGGCAGGAAAGTGATGACAAAACTAGACAGTGTGTTGAAAAGCAGAGACATCACTCTGCTGACAAAGTTACATATAGTCAAGGCTAGAGTCTTCCCAGTGGTCAAGTAAGGGTGTGAGAGCTGGATCGTAAAGAAGGAAGAGCGCCAAAGAAATGATTCCTTCCAACTACGGGGCTAGAGAAGACTCCTGAAAGTCCCCTGGACAGCAAGGGATCAAACCAGTCAAGCTTAAGGAAGATCAACCCTGAATATTCACTGGAAGGACTGATGCTGAAGCTGAAGCTTCAATATTTTGCTTTTCTGATTCAAGCAGATGATTTGTTAGAAAAGTCCC